CTATATCCTGCTATTCAGGATAGCTGTCTGTGCCCTCAAATGTAGCACAAATAGACAAACTGGAACAGAATATAATCCATCTAAACAGAATAGTGAGAGTAATGTGGATTTTAAATCCCGATACACTGCTAACAATATCCTCTGCCTTCCTTTTTTAGACAGGTCCTCCCTTTCACTCCCACAGGGTGCACTGCACGTTTTGGGTCCCACCAACTTCCTCAGTTTTTAGATGGGGGGTCAACCTGCTATTCACCTAAGTGGTTCTGAACCTTCTCGCTCCTGGACTTGATCTCAAGTTGTATTTCTTTACCTACAAAAGCCTCAAGGTTTTCCTTCGTTATAGCTGAATAGCTCTCTCCTGCACAAAAGTATCATGTCCTCCCAACCTATCTGCAGGTGCTGGTCGAGTTGCCTCTATTTCTCTCTGGTTCCCTATCATAGAGTTTTGTTTTCTCATCTTTGACTTTCCGTTCATTAACCCTCTTTTAGGTTGAGTATATTTCCTATTCAGAAATCTTTATGGACCCTAACTCCTGATATACTCTGCTTGTATTTCTTTTTATTAGTGTATCAAGGCCATCTGTGTTAGAGATTATAGCCAACCTTCTCTCCCTCATCTCTGCTATGCTATTTTTCTGCCATTGGTTGTCTACATTTCTCCTTCATTTCATGGTCTGCCCTATTCACTGAGTCCTCTCTGCCACTATTTCTGAAATCCTGGCTTTTTTTTCTCTCTCTCTCTCTCTAGAATATCCTTCAGTATTTTTTGTAGGGTTGGATAGGAGGTTACGAATTCCCCCAGTTCCTCTTTGTCATGGGAGGCATCTTGTTTCTCCATTAATTCTAAGAGACAGTTTTTCAGTGTACATCAATATGGGTTGGAGGTTATTTTCTTTCAGGGCTTGGAATACTTCACTCCAATCTCTTCTTGATTTCATGGTTTGTGTTGAGAAGTCTGCCATGATTTTGATGGGTTTTCCTTTATAGATGATCTGTTTATTTTCTCTGACACCTTTAATATTCTGTTCTTGTTATGAATTTCTGGGATCTTGATTATTATATGTCTGTGTGTAGCTCTGCTTTGGTTGTAAGTGGCTGGAGTTCTATATGCCTCATTTATCTGCATATCATTTCCTTTTCCTGTGCTTGGGAAGTTTTCCTTAATTATTTCTGTGAATAGGCTTTTGTATTTTCTTAGGGTTTATCCCTGCTTCTTCACTCACATTTTTTATTCTTAAGTTGTAGATCCTTTTATTGTCTTCTAGCCTTTGAATTGTTACTGCCTGTTTCCTTGTTATTTTTAAGAGGTCTTTCCTTTCATGATCAGACATTGTAAACCTATCTATAAGTTTTGTTAATCTATTGCTAGTTTTTGTCAGGCAATTTTTCCAGCTTTTGATGGAGTCTTTAATTTCCTGGTACTCTTTTTGAATCTGATTCTAAGTTTTCTTTATATTCTTCATCGAATGTTTCTTTCCTTTTTTGTATTCCTCCATTCTTTTGTCTGTGTCTTCTTGAGAGGTGCTTAGCATTTCTTTTGTTAATCTTCTTATATCTTGCTTTACTTGAATTAATATTTCAGTTTTGAGTTCATCTATGATGTCATGAAAATATCTCTTTGTGTCTGCTGATGCTGTGTCTGATATTGCACGCTTGCTGCCCTCAATCTCTTCTGTATTTACCTCTCCTGTATCCATATTTGCATGGTTGGGGGCTGGAGGCTTTTTCTTATTTCTTTGTCTTGTCATGATTTTGGTTTCTTCCATACAGGTGTATAGTGGAAGTCCCAGCCTCTTTCCTTGTTGGTTATGGTTCTTCTGAAACACGGCTAGGGATTTTTGCCCTCTCCAGTTTGCTCTGGTCATTGAGATGCAAGCAGGAGCAGCACATGCCGGCCCCTCCCCTCCAAGCCAGTCAACCAGCTGGAGCCTTCACTACGTTAGTGTGTGCCACACATATGGAATTGCTTCAGGACAGCTTATTGGGTGCTGGCCAGAGGTGAGACCCAGGCCAAGCAGATCCCACCAATGTGCTCTGGGTAGGGAGCAACCAACTGAAGTCACTGCCAGTCCTAGTTCAGGCCCATACTACCCAATTCCAACATGTCATCCAGTCAGTCGCCCCTTTCCAGTGGGAGAGTCTTATTCCAAGCACTCATCATGGGTCAGTGCAAGTCTCCACACTGGCTCTGTTTTCCACTGGGTTCACCAACCCCTGACTTCAGCGTGATCGCAGCTCCAGCAGTGAGTGTGCCATAATCTCGAGTTTGGGAAGCTCCAGCAAGAGAGCCATGGCTATGAATCTGAGCTGCTTCAATGGTGACACTGCAACCATGCATTTGACCAGCTCTTTTCCCTTTAGTTTCTTTCTGGGTGAAGAGGATCCATCTCCTTCTCTGGTCCTCTCCAGGATGTTTTATTCCAGCATCTGTGCTGTTTCTCTGAGGGAGCCTCTGTATTTTGCTGCTTACTGATCTGCCATCTCTAGCTCCACCCTAAGTATAACTTTTAATAATGGAGTACTGTAAGTCCTCTTTGAAAAGTAAGCTGCTCTACATTTAAGGTTTTTATAAGCTGTTTGGTAATTCCTTCTTTTATTTTCCTATAGAATGAATGATTAAGGCCCTCGGTCAATGAGAAACGTCAAGGACAAATGAACACATGGAGAAATAAAAGGAATGCAGAGCATTGTTCTACCCCCTCTGCTTACCTCCCTCCCCTCCCACATACAATCATACACCATATATATATAATGTGTATGTTTATATTATATATTTCTATTATACATGCTGTTAGTACATGATGATCACATTCCGTGTGGGAACTTGGGTTATACACACAAAAAATGGAGGAATTGTGAGCTGAATGCAAGTGTTAAGTACTTCTACGCTCACAGTTGGGCACAGTGTGTGTGGGCACTGAAGAACAGCTAGAGAGTCTATCATCTTTCACCCCTGTCTTAACCTGAACATATGTTAGGTGTAGACCAGTTAGCAGCAGAGAAGCAGAGTGTTAGTCTCAACTGCATTCAGAGTCGAAGCACATCATCAGCCTCACAGAAATCATTGGGCCTGGAATTATTCTTACTGAAAATTGAAAATTGACTTCAGAGCAGCATTTTAAATGGTTTGAATTAAACTATAAAAATTTACTTCCAGAGCTGGAGATATAGCTCAGCAGCACAGTGCCTGCCTGACAAGCATGAGGTCCTGAGTTTAATTCCTGATACAAAAAAAAGCCAGTAAAAATTAACTTCCACACCTCCACGTTAATGCAATGAGATGAGCATGAACCATTTATAAACTCTTGCTTTGCCAGTGAGTAACGTCTCTTAGAAGCTGTCAAGACAGAAACTTAAAACAATAATATGTCACTCTTTAGAAACCAGAAATGGTGCAGCACTGTTTATTTCCTTGGCAATGTCAGAGACATGTTCCTTGAGTATTTTATAGTCTGACTCAGTATGCACAGCAGTGACATTTGAAGTCAGATTTTTCCTCCACATTTTCCCTCATTTATTTAAATCCGGATATATTTTGCCACCAAAACCAGTTAAAGTTTTCCAGGGATGAATCAGCAGGCACAGACCACAAACCCATGAAGGAAGGTGGTTTGCTGAGTCGCACAAGGGTGACAGAGCCCTGACTCGGTGCAACCCACAAACCCATGGCTCTCCTGTGATTCAGTGCAAGCCTGGAGTGTGGGGAAGAACTGCTGTGGCCCGTGCCCAGACCCCCAGTCCTCCAAAAGGGTACATGGCAAAGGCTCAAAGGAATGAGACAAGCAGCATGATCTTAAGGCTGCAGGAGGAGTGAAATTCTCTGCAGAGCTCATGACTCTGCTAGCCGGCAGGCCAACTGATGCCAGGCAGCCCGTGTTTAATCAGAACAAGCAAGAGTTAGGACAATGGAGGAAACCGGAGCAGGATCTTGGGTGGGGTTTAAGGACCCCTCAGAGCAACAGAGGATGCTAATTATGGAAAACTAGCCAGAAAGTCTCCAGGTGGCCTCAACTATGGCCTACCTTTCCCCCTGAGGTGTCTCCTCCTCAATTCTGCTGTGCCAGGGCCAGGCCACAACCCTGCATGTGTATTCAATGGCTCCAACAGAGAACAGAGAACAAGAAGTTGACACAAACCAATGGCCATTGCCAATCTCAGTGACAGTATATCCTAGGCAGAGACAGGTCTCACCCCACCCTTTCCTTGGGCCTATCCCTGTGGAGTTCAACACATTGGCACAATACACGAAATCAGTTGATTCCTGAGTGCTGAGGTCAGTACCAGCCTTTTCTTTCAGTATGCTCAAGAATGCAAGATTTGCTTTGTCAGTTTCTGAGGATTATGACCGTCCCACAGCCATGTAAGGGTTTGTTGTAGAGGGTGAACCCAGTAAAGACTGAGCACAGTTAGGTGAGTCATGCTGAGGAGGAATCTGGCAATGACAAGTCACCAAAGAAACGCGTCCCCCCAACAGGGGAGAAAGAGCAGTATATAGTGTGGCCTCCAGTGAGCGGTGCTGTGCTCCCCAGCTGGCTGTCACAACCTTTGCAGATTCCCGGAGGATGAGGCTGGCCATGGCCACATCCTCTTGCACATGCACACTGGGTGCCTGCCCTGTTCCCACATAGCAGGCCCGTGGTGGCATCCAAGAACTCCCAGCCCCTCTCCTGCCCGTGCACTCCTAACTCGAGTTTGCATCTTCATCACCAGTGCCCTTCACTGAGGCTCGCCACCTCACACGGCGCCCTGGCTTAACAATTCCCTGCTCCACATCACGATTGCTATGCAAGGCCACATTGCCACGCCAGCTGGTGCACAGACCTGACATCACTTCTGCAGACACCACACTTCCCTGTTCTCTTTAAGGAAATCATCAAATGTCCACAAGATCCCACTGTGTGCTAACGGAAGAGGTAGTACCTTTTTCTTTGGTAATCTTCTTTGTGTTTAAAACACACTTATTAGGGCTGAGGATGTAGACCAGTGGCATAAGCACCTACCTGGCAAGTGTGCAGTCCTGAGTTTGACCCCTGGTACCACACACACACAAAATTATTCTGCATTCTTCCCAAAAATGAAATTCACAGTTTCCTCCTCAACTCTTCCAGAGCACTGTAAGTATCAACAAAAACACAGAATATTATTATTTATCAAACAAAGAAATACAATGTATTGGATATGCACACTGGCTCTGGAGTCAGGTGTGTTTGCATGAAAATTGTGACTCAACTGTGCACTAACTCTGAATATAAGAGATCTGTAAATTTTGTTAAGATTAAGTTTCACGAAAAAAATTTCTATTAGTGTCTAAATTCAGACATTTTGATGTTATGTGTATGAGAACCTTCAGTGTCTATGCAGAACTAGAAGTGCTAAGGAATAATGCACTCAGGAAATGTCAAGAATGTGCGTAATTACCAGATGATTTGGGCCTCTTCCCAGTGAGAATACCAGGCAAATCAGATTCGCCCTTTCCTGGGTCTTTAACACCCCTGGCACTTGGCCTGCATGGGCGGTGGCACTGGAAACCTTCCAAGACAACGCCTGAGTCCTTAAGTGAGTCAGCCAGGCTGGTTCTGCACTTGGAAGCGATGTCTGGGAAAGTAACCCAAGCTTTTCCCCCTCTCTGCTCAGGGAAGAACAGCATTTCCTACAATCAAAAGCCAGCCTGAGGACCATCACTGCAATAACCATGCAGAGGAGAAAAAACTGCACAAACTACATTAATTAGTAGTAATGACCTAATCTATAGGGCTAGAGGTTCAAACCCAGCTATTCCCCTTCTGGGTCTCTTCCCAAAAGAATCAAAAGCTTCATACCACAGTGATACATGGACACCCATGTTTATAGCAGCACAGTGTGTGATAGCTAAATCTCGGAAACAACTGAAATGCCCTCAACTGATGAATGGATAAAAATGATGTGTTTTCTTTTTAATACAGTGGAGTACTACTCAGGCAAAAAGTATAAACTTGAGACATTTATAGTTAAGTGGATGAATCTTGAGACCATACTCAAGTGAAATGAATCAGACGCATATGTGTACATAGCTCATCGTCTCTGTGGTGTGGGAAACTAAAAGGGTCAATAAGGACCAAGATGCGTACTAGGTATCGTGAGATAGGAAGCAATTGTTCAAAAGGAAAAGGGAATTGGGGAAGGGAGAATAGAAAGGAAAAGAAGAAAAGAGAAAAAAAGAAAAAATGGAAATAAAAATTAGGAGGGGAAGAAGGACCAAGGAGGGGGGAAGGGAAAAAAGGAATTAGCATATCACCTACAGGTACAGATTCTCTGCGGTGAACGTGACCATTATGGTCATCTAAAATCAACTTAGGTTTTAAAAGATTTAAGGCCAGGCATGGGGCACACCTGTAATACTAGCACTCAGGAGGCTGAAGCAGGAGAATCACTGCAAGTTTGAGATCAGCAAAAGTTGCAAAGTAAGTTCAAGGCCAGCTTATCCTGCATAGAGAGACCCTGTACCAAAAAGTCCAAACAAAAAAGATCTAATCTCTAATGTGGATTAGAAAACTTTATTATTTTAAAAATAATTTGAATTATTTTGCTTTAACATATATATGAAAATACTTAGAAACAAAAGGAATTTTCTTCTACATTTTGGGGAAAAGACTGTCATGGCAGAGGATTCTCAGACTTACTGTTTCTTACTATAAAATTAATGTGAGAAAATGTCACTTGATAGAAAATAATTTATGTTTTTCTTTGGTTTAAAAAGTATTCATCTCAAATTTATAAGGATTTAACTTTAAATGTTTGCTAAATATTCACTTGATGTGTTTCTGTTAGTTTTTTTTTTCTCACCCTAGAGTTTGTCAAGTTGTTTTACCCAAAGTGCTCCTGTTGGGATGTCACCTACTTAATTTTATGAATTTACAAGTTAATATTTTCATAATGGCTGCTAATTTAATTTATATTTCTTTTAAATATAATGAAAAAATATCTGGTGATATTGCATCTTACAATGTGAGGTACCCAATAATATTCATGAACTATATAATGTAATGCATGTGTCTCAGTAAAATATACGATTCCAGTATTTGGGGAGCCACATAAATTATATTTCCAACATCACCTCAAAAATGTATAAACTGGAATGTGTAATATTACTCAAAAGCTTTCTTTTCAAAATGAAGAACTCTATACACTTCTTTTAATATGCATTCTTACAATTTTGACAATGTAGCCTTTCTCACTGAATATAATTGATGACAGGCATATGCATTTTTTAGGTGTTAAAAAAACTAGGCCCTTTTAAAATAATATTTTGAAGATATCTACATAAAATTAGAGATAACTACTCATTCTCCAGAGTGAATTCTCATTATCAACAATCAAAATTTTAAAAAATAAGATTCAAAATTCCTAGTACTTGGAATATATATCAATTAGGTGTTTAATATATCACTATTCTACTTTCCCATCAATTACTACATTATTGATCATATAGTTCATATTTCAATTAAAAGTGTAGTCATATATTTCTATAAATATAAATGCTCCTATATTTAAAAATATCTTAGTGAAACAAATATTAATGCTTGAAGGGAAAACTACTTTTGAAAGTATGATAAATTCATGCCAGATTGCACTAGAGAAACATCAAGTTTAAAATATCTTTAACGGTGTCTAAGAGGGGCTATTCTATTTCCTCAATTAGAATAGCTTAAATTTTTAAACCTTTGCAAGCCAAGTAAAAAGTCTTCCAATGTTCCATTAATTTACTGTTGCTTCTTGGCTTGTGCATATTATTTTTCATCTATAGTTGGCTGTTTCTTTCTTTGTGACTTCTGCCACTTGGCATCTATTAAATGACACGTGGCCAGTGGTGCCGTTCTGCCAGTGCCCTGGAAGCCCACCGTCCCTCTGTGGCCCTGCGTGAAGCACTGTCTGCGCGTTCCACGAACCCTCCGCAGGGAATTCCCACCGCCCTTGAGGTTGTTTCCCCGGGTCTCACCACACACTGAAAGAAGCAGCTCCTCCTTTCTCGCTCCTGGTTACCCTCGGACCAGTCCTTTGTGCCCTGACCCAGCCTGCACTTCCTCGTGAACAACTCTGCCCAAGAAGCCAGTCTCCCTGTCACAGTGCACTGGGCTGGGTGACCTGATACCACACAAGAGGACTCATGTGACCAGCTGGATCAGTCAGAGCTGTTCTGCTCTGTGATCATCCAGGATGAGCACAGAGCACAATCAGACCAGCTGCAGCCTGTTTCAGACCTCCTCCTGTGGGAATCCCTGCCTTTGGGGGTGGCCAGGAAAGTGGATTTGCTCCCTGAAGGTCCCCGCAGCTCCTTTGCCACCAGGAGGAAACTGTTTCTGAAAGCATCCAAATATCAGAAGGCGACAGAAGTGAACACAGTAAAACAGAGAGACAAAGAAAGGTCAGATGTTCGCTTACTTTCTTGTTACTGCAACAAAGTGTCCCAAGTCCACAACTTGGGCTTTTCGGGATGTTCTATTTTGAAATACTAACATTGCCTTCATGACCTCCAAAAGATTTATGCTCATTTCTTGATGCACAGTTCATTTTCCACCTCTACGAGTCACAAACTCTGAGCAGTTCCAGCATGACTGGAAAGAACAAAGTTGCTCTGACACTCAAGACAAGCTCAGCTTTGAGTTCCTGTGGAAATCAGAAAGAAAATCAGACCCTTCCAACGTGCCGTGGCTGAGCCCGCCCTGCACTGATGAGCACACAGCACCGGGGTCCAGGCTCCTCAGAAGCTCACCTCTGCGCACAGGAGGCTTTTGGAGGGTATTCCTAATTGAAACCGTATCGGACGCGGTACTTTAGACAAGTGGGATCCAGTTATAACCAGGTTTCCCAGTTAAATGAACAAAGACATCTTCCTTTCTGTATAAGGTTGTTTGTTACTTTTACATTAATGTGAAGATTCTCTACTGTCACACTTATGCATGTTGTCTCTTCTTCTCTGGGGGTATGAATTTTCATTTATTTCATTTATAAGTATTCCTCTACTTTTAAAATGAATTTTTTTACATAAACACTTTTACATACTGTTTTTCATTTAACTGTGTTTTTATACTTTTGTCCTAAAGCTTTGAAGGTTTTATGCTTCTATGAATCTAATCTTCATGGCTTTTTTTCCTGAGAAGATGGGTTTGTAGTCTTAACCATACTTACACATTACATCCATTTTCTAAAAAAAGTCCTACTGGAAAATTTCAACTAAATGCCCTGCTTTTCTGGATCTCTCCTTTTTTTTTTTATTGCTTTCTCTGTCTTTCAGATGTTTCCACACTCATTTTCTTTATATTTTTTTACATATTTTTATTTTATTATTTTATCTCATACTTTTCCTTGTTCTTCATTTTTTATAGTTTTGGTAGTATGTCAGTAGAATTTTAGTATCATTTTATCATATACCTTAAAATAATCTTTGAATTTGATTGCAGTTTTATTACATATATAAATAATTTATGATTATTTCTTTCACATTACTGAATTTTGCCATTTATGATTGTATGCCTTATCTGTTCTCTCCGTATCTCCAGTGATAATTTAGAATACTTCACAAAGAAGTATTCCTTCTCCCAAAGGCACTTTACACTGTATTTTTTTTCATAGGTTCTTTTTCTTTTTAATTGACACAACATTGTGTGTGTTTATATGACACTGTGATATTTCAATAGATGTATACACAGTTTACAGTGACCTGTGGGGTCATCAGCCTCTCTGTTACCTCGATGTTTATTAATTCTTTGTCCTGGGAACATTCAAACTCCTTTTCTCCGAGTTGGCATGAAATGCCTGTTTAGGTTGGCCCGCTGTAGTTCCCGCCGTGCCCTAGCTCGTGGGCAGTGACTCCACATCCCCACCCATCCTGCCTTGCCGCCCTTCCACCCAGCGTGGCTCTTTCCTTTGGAAGTTTATTTCTCTATCGTACCGCATTATTATATATTGGGAGGATATTAGAATGTGACATATTTCATTGTCTACAAAAGTTATCTCATACTAGTTTTGACAGTTATCCTAGCTTTGTAATTTATTGGTGCAGTTGCATTTGGTAAATTTTAAGAATTTTGTATCCTCCTTTGTAGTACTCCTGTCACGCATATATGTCTGTGCATTGCTTAAAGTTTCTAGAAAATGGGTACAAAGTAACTCAGAGGTGTGCTTGTTTTATTTTAAAATTAATGAAATAGCTTCAAGCGTTTCAGTAACAGCCTGAGGCCTAAGGGTGTACACATTTGCGTGTGCTCCTGTACACTCACAGATGTGACTCACGCCGTAACACCATGTTGGATCGACAGGGTCAGTGTTGGGGTACAGCGGCAGGCACCTGGGGGGCAGGCCCTGGGCAGACAGCGGTGGCTCCTTTGCTGCATGGGAGAGGGTGCTGTTGCTCTGTAGGTGCAACCGATGGAATCCGATATTCTGATTAGGTAAAGATTACAGTTTATGTTATGCAAGTTGGCAAATCCCTAAGAATGCGTGAGTTCATGCTGTAGTAACAGCGTGAAGAAGCCAGTGGTTTGCAGCCCAGAGTGTTTTCTGGTTCATCGCAGGTAGCACACAGGTGGGCCATAGACTTGGTTCTTACCTGTGCCACGGTGCTGGGGTTCCAGCCTGAGTTAGTGGATGCTGAGAGGAAAGAGCAAGGGGCGAAGCATTCAGCCGTTCTTACACCAACACAAGCCCAGAGCAATTCAGATGAGGAAACAGTTACATGGCCAAGATTAACACCCCCAGGTGTGCGATACACCATTCTTCCCGGAAAAAAGTAGAAAACAGCTATCCATTGAATTCACGATGTATGGCAGGAGAAGTGGGCAGACCAAACTCTCCATCAGCAGGTTTATCCTGCAGACCACCAAGCTGAGAACTTCTATTTCGTGTTAATTCTAGGTTCTAGCTCGAAAATCGTGCAGTTAACAGTGTCCATGTCACTGAACATAGTAACATCGTTGATCATGGCTCCGACTCAGCAATGTCCCCCACCGCAGGCGCTCAAGCCCTCCTGTCCCTCCGCATCTCGGCCGCCTGTGTCCCCCAGGCCTGCTTGGTTCTGGCCGTCCTTGCTCTGGTGGGGCCTGGATCTGGATTTCCCTGAGGGATAAACAGAGGCACTGACCAGGCGCCCACGATGCTTTTCACACACGGACCTCTCAGCTGGGGGACTCCTGAGGTGCCAGCTAAGGCACCCAGGAAAGACCCCAACCTCACCTGTGCCCAGCCACCGTCCTCCCCCTGCCTGCCCTCTCAAGTATACTAGGAAGCACCCTGTTTAGGCCTCTCCTTGGCAGGAATTCAATCTAAAAGAGCCTATGAAAATGTAATTATTACTCTGTCCTCACAAGGTGTTATGGATTAAAAACTGGTGTCAACATCAGCTGAATTAAATCAGCATGGTGCTGAGTGGAGATGTTTCACCTGAGGAAAGTTGCCAGCATAAATAGACACGTGGAGAAGGCGAGCTGGGCATTGTGGGTTTCTCTAAGTGTTGCTGTTTTGAGCCATTGGAGGAGTCTCCTGGAGGAACTCCTCATGACTAGCTTCCCCAGTGTAAGTTGGACCATTGTCATTGGAGGAGCTCAGGCCCCTGTTGGTGACAGTGGCTGTGGTTCACATAGTGGGAGCTCTGGTTGTTACATCAAGCATTGCTTCCTGACTCAGGAGGGGAAGGCATGTGCCCTTTAATCTCCAGGAGAAGCTTGCCATGCTGGCTTCCTGACATGCGCTTGACTATTCTTATTGTCGGAGGAGCTCAAGACCTCTGTGTCACTGAGGATGGCTATGGTGCTTTTCAGAATAGCCCTGGACTTTATTATGAGCGTGGCTCCAGTGTAGAACCCTCAACCCACCAGCACAGCTCCTTCACCCCACTGGCATAGACTTTCTAGCTTCTGCTGCTGACCTTTGGGCCTTCCCAGTGCAGATCCATAAAACAGACTGCCATGAGTCCTTCTCATGGGCTCTAGACCTCCAGCTGGACTCATGGGAGGCACTGTCATAAGCTCTAGGTCTTCATCTGGACTCATGCAGGACATTGCTGTGAAATCTAGGCCCTTGGCTGAATATTCAGGGTCTCTAGTTTTGTGAACAGATTTCCTGCACTTTCTTGTGTTTAACTCTGGGTGACCATTATAAAATAATATCAATTCTGTGTCCTGATTCTAACTGTTCTCCTCAAAACCCCTGACTACAACACAAGGTACGAACAAGGTAACGAAAGTATTCAGTGTTTAAAAACTAAGCCACATTTAAGATAAAACTTACAACCAAGTTTTAAAAATTATAATGGGATTTTCATTAAAAAAATGAAAATTTCTTGGTATGAACATTCTTCCTTGCTATGATAATTATTAAATATTTTAACTTTGTGTTTTGATTATAGTGATTATGTTTTTGACACAATTGCAAATATTATTTAACTTCCCGTATAGGCTATAATTTAAATTTGCCTTGGCTGGTGAATTCTGCTTTGTTGTCCGGGCTGACACTTCATTGTAATATTCACCTAATTGCCCACGCCTGCACCATTGATTACCAAGGTGTATAATCAAGGAACTGGATCCGGGGAGTGAAATAAGTTGGGAAAACCTAAGGAACACTAGTTTTATCCTTTTGGGTTGCTAATATAAACCTATTAACACTTTTGATATTTTGAAGCCATTCTGTGATAAAGACAAATTTAACTGTAACTATACCCAGGTCTTCTCAGTGAGAGCATTGCAGTATGTGTAGTAATTTCCCCAAAGCCTTTGAATACCTCTATACTTTCTATAAATAATCAAAACACAATGCTTGAATCTTAAACTGCATATATTAATGAAGTGTTTGTTTACAAGGTGTCTCAAATTTGCAGCATTTCAGAAATGTCCAAATTGAAGTTAAAACTATAAATATATATTCTATTTGTTTTCATTCAATGTCTAGAAAATAACTTACATCCATTTATTCTTTTTGTAGCGATTCCTATGTTTGGTTAGGAATTTCCAAACCACAATTAATGCTATGTTTTCACATTTTTACAGCTTCCATTAGTATACCACGTTCCATAAAATACATAAAGTGTTTTACACCAAGAATACAAAAACAGGATAATACACTCTGCAGGAAAAAATACATGGAAGGTGAAATCTTGTTACAGTGACT